TATTTTAAAACTATGCGGAAAAACTTATCCTTACAATCCATATAAAACTTGTTGTTATCTATTCCTTAGCAATATCTCATAACTCCTAAGAAGTAGCTCAAGAATCCGATTTTCAAACTACGCGATAGAAATCCATCTATGCGATCAGATTCAACATATTCTTTCTTTAAGTTCCTTTACTTTTCTTTGATTCTTAAAACATTACCATGTGACCCAGTCACATCATGTATCAAGGAATCTCAGAATAGAAACTTAACAGAGTTAGTAGTGGACTTTACCTGAAGTAGAGTCAACTTATTGACTTTAACATCCTTAGGTAAATTTGGCAGCTTCGCAACTAATGACCCTTTCTTTGGCAATATAAACATATGGACCCTTTGATAATGGTACACGGGACTATACAGACTTAGCTTTTCTCTTTACCATTTGTTCAACCGAGTTGACTATGGCCGATCCCTTTCCATTGGGAAGAGAATGCTTTTTCTGATTTCCTGTGTCACTATTGTCAATGTCCATAAAGTTTCAGGAAGTTGATCTTAGCAAATAGATAAGATCATTAAGGGTCTTGTCATAGTCTGTTTCATAGGTGTTCCAAAAGAACTCACTATGTGACTTAGAAAGTAGTTGACCACAACTTTCTCAAGACTTTGACACCCAACTCTCCCGGCTTGTCAATATGTGACTACATCTCCAAGATGTGATCACACCTAGACCTTGCCTTGCCAATAGGGCTTGAGTGACCTTAAACTTTTCAAGAACTTGTGGGTTAGGGAGAATAATTGGAGGAGGAGAAAGAAGTATGATATCCATGGGACATCATCTTCATTAGGAATGCTTGTTTCAAGAGATTTGGGAAGATCATAAATGTCTAAACCAGACATCTTTTGGGAGATATTCAAGATAGTTGATCTAAAGTCCTTAATATGACACCCAATATGAAATATTAAGGCTAGGACCCAACAAACTATTTTATAACTTAGAAGAGGTATGCCGTAATCCAAGCTATAAAACAATTTGAAGGTAGGTGAATGACGATTCACCAATTTCCACCAAGATAAACGAAATGTATTATTAGGTTTTAATTGGATTTGAAACTCCTAGATCTTTTGAGATTCATTGAACTGTTCAATGGCATGTTTCAATCTCGAGTGTGCCCTTCAGGTTTTGTGACTGGGATGCCGAGGATCACAAAACAAGGTGTGAAGTAACCATGCAAATTACTTGGTACCCTTAAGTGTTTATCCCTCAATCGATGTGCCGGTTAACCACACACGCTCCATCGATACTATGATAAACATTAAGTTACCCTTTGCCTACCTTGTTAAATACGAGTTAGTGTGCCGGTTAACCACACACGCTCCACTAACCGACTTAAACAAAGTGCAAAGTGTAATTTCATGGATTAGCACCTTATTCACATTTTCCTAAGTAACTAAGATTGGGTATTATTAGAGTTTAGTTACTTAGTATTTATCATTAATACTTTTAATGAAGGGAGAATTATAGTCATGTCAAACCCGTTCGGCTAACGACCCTCCACCAGTCAAGCAAGCGGTGGGTGAGAGTGGACACCCATTAAGTTGCCATTTTATAGGCAACAACCTTATACCCACCTTATAGACCGGCTTCGTGAATGAGGCGTACTAGCGGTAAGACCTACTTTACTCTTACACACACATATATATATATATATATATATATATATATATATATTATTAACTTATAATATTATAAAGTATAAGGGTTGAATTTTAACTTTTAAAATTCTAAGGGCTAACTTGGAATTAAAGTATTCATAAGAGAAAACTTTACAAATTCCAAAACTTGAGGGCAAGTTTTGAAACTATTCAAAACTAATTAATTCCATAACTTATGTATTTAAAGTAGTTTTAATCCAAAAACTCTTCAAGTTCCATAACTTGTGGACAAATTATGGAAGACTTTAAACTAATAAAGAATTAACTTTTCTTTATTTTATAACTTATGGAATTAATTAAGGTTACATATTTTATTTATTTATTTATTAATGAAGTGACTCTTGAACCTCCATAACTTAAGGACAAGACTCTTCATCTTTTGTAACCATTGCCAACTTTTATGAGTTTTTATGAAACTTAAATGTGACTTTTCATATAACTTGAGGACAAGTTACAAAAACACATTTTAGAATCAACTCTTAGATTAATTTGGATTGAAAACAACTTTTTCACTCAACTTTTCTATTAATCTAAGCAACTCATAAGAACAAGATAATTCAAATCAAACTTTTTCATGTAATTAGTCTAACCTTTAAACTAATACAAAACATGAATCTATTGACAATTATCTTTGAAAATGGATTAGCATGAACATTACCACATTAAAAAACAAGTTTATAAGTTCAAAACAACTTAGGGTAATGTTCCTAGTCCATTTCTAGCCAAAAACCTCGAAGATATGCTGTCTGGGGTCCAACTCGTCGAGTGCATGAACACAACTCGGCGAGTTGGATGCATTTTGCCTTGGACTCGTCGAGTCCCTTCATGGACTCGGCGAGTCAGCTGGGCTGACAGCATCAAAACTCGATTTTCAGCTTCTATTGCAGGTATAACAAGAAAACAAGCCTAGGCTCTGATACCACTGTTGGGTTATGAGCATTCTAACACTCCTAAGTGTACATGCAACCCTAAATACCTTGGATCTATGTTTTCTCTATTATACATGCAAATATGAACATCCAAGGTATTATCCTAATCTAGCATACAAAACAATCAATAAAGCAAGATAGAATACATACCTCTTTGATGTAGAATGTCTTCATGAAGCTTGAGTGCCTAGTGCCCCAAGTGTGACACCTCAAATGGTTCACACAACACCATAAGCACTTGGAATAACTTAGAGAGAAATTAGAACACTTCATGAAATCATCTAAACCCTCATACACACACATATTAGTAACGATTTCTTGAGCCATGGGTTTCTTTTATATGGTGGCTATTAGGGTTACACCATGTAACTCATGACTTTACCCATTCCCCTATGCTCCATGGATTTTAACCTCCATGGAGTATCCATGGGTCACCCCATGGACTTAGTCCAACATAAGGAATCTTGGATCACAAGCCCACATATATAAGAATGAATGATTTACACAATCAACCCATATATTTAATTAGTCTCCTTTTGATCACTTAATTAATTCCAAATTAATTCTTGATCAATACTAATTAAATAACCTTATTAATATATTAGAACTTATAATATATTAACAAACCTTAAGTGTTATTTCTCTCATTATAGTCTATCCAAGTGCATGATGCCATGCAACCCAAATGGACCATGCCGGGTCGGGTCAAGTCTTACCAATTATAGTTATGGACTTAGACATTAATCCAACATGAAAACCTCATGGAAAGGGGCCCTAAAAGTTGGTGCAAGGCATTCTTTAAAGTAGACAAGGCTTGTGATGCTTCCGCCTCGCATATAAATACGACCCTCATTATCATATTCGAGGTTAGACGATTCTAGACGACAGAATACCCTTCTGAAGACGATTTTTGATACCTTTCAGTGATTTCTGAAGATGTGAACGTTGCGAATCAACTCATTTGTTTAGTTTAGAAGATTGATTAGTTCGTTTTACTTTTTACTAGTTTTAGTTCGTTTTTAGTCATTTCTGGCTAAAAGCTTAGTTTTAAGTTCTGCATAGATTAGTACTTTTCATGTGATTAGTTTTCAGATATGGTTTTCTTTTTGTGTTTCTATCTATATTTTTACGTTTTGAGCTTAATGAACATTTGCTTTTAAATTCTTGTTAGTCTGATCACCTAGCTAGGGTTTTATCAATCTAGTTAATCAGTCAATAGAATCCGTAATTGTTCTTGTCAATTGGTAAAAGTAACAAGTATCAGATTGGTTCCGTGTTTGGGATTGAAATTAATATAAACTGTAAAAATCATATCTTTACGTTTCCGAGCTTGTGAGAAGTATTGGATATTGCTGGGAATTTTACACAAATCATAAAGCTGCTTTTTTTTATTTAATTAAGAGCTTATTTAATTGAACAGTAAAAAGTTATGGTTAATTCAAAGAGATTGTTTCGATTAACCAGTTTAGGTAAAAGAGATTATACTGAAGCTTGTTAGTTTTTCTTGGTACCAACTTAGATAGAACATATTTTGAATAACCAAAATGATTGCATGATTAGGAAAGTCGCAGCAGAGCTGAAATCGTTTTTATTATTGATTTTCATTTGGTTTATTTTCACTTCAATTTTAGTTTTTAGTTTAATTTAAAAAACCCCCATCTTAATAATTTATGTTTTGACTAGATTGTGTATGATGTAAAAAGGTATTGACCGTTAGGCTGTGTTCCTGAGGATTCGACCCTGCTTCCCTGTGCCATATTTTTATTGTAACCAACAGTGATTAATTTATTTATTTAATACGCCTGAGAAAGCGTGTTAACACAAATCGTTTACTTCAAACTCATAGAAACATGCAAACTTTGGTTCGGTTAATGGGTCAAGGTTTGATACGGGTTTTACCCATATTTTCCCTGATTCTTTATGTAACACCCTGTTTATTTAATAAATAAATAGATAAAATTTATTAAAGAGTAGTAGCCCTAAAATCCATAATACTCGGTGAGGTGTTGGTTTTGGGAGCTAAATGTTATAATTTTATGAAGTCCGGGGCTCCATGGTAATTATTTGGAATTTATTCAAAATGAAATGAGGTGGAAGGGCTGAATATGTCATAATTAAGAATTGGGGGCTGTTTGGTAGAATTTGTACCTAAATTGAAAGGAATTTAGAATGTGGAGGGCTAAAGAGTAAAGTTCAAACTTCATTTGAAAGGAATTGGGAGTGATAGGAGCTAAAATGTAACTTATGGAGCTGTTTTGAAGAGTTTATGTGATGGAGGGGTTGGAAGTGATAAACTCGCATGGAGTTTGTATGAACACGTGATAAATCAGGCCATCCGTTCCATATCGTTACACCACCCTAACCCTAGCCTCGTTTACAGCCGCCACCATCTCACGATCTCTTTTCTGCCGCTTGTCAAATCTCCAACCGCACACTTCCTTCTCATTTCCGATTGATCAAGACCACCAGGCGTAACCATTCTAGCCTCCACCACCTTGTCATTGAACGCCATCGCCACCTCCTCTGCTGCTCCGGTTAAGTCGCGAACGGCCGAAGAAACCCCACCAAGAACGAAGTCAGAACTATGACCGTCGGAAACAAGTCGAGTGAGAACAAAATGCTCACGGTAAGGCCATCTATCACCTCTTTCTAGTTGTTTGAGGCTGTAACCGCCGTTGGTTGCCATTCAGTGGCGTTCCGACAATGTTTTGTGACCTTGTAGGTGGCTGATTGTGCATGTGTTCGCCTTTATAGGCTGATTGCAGAGCTAACAATGGAATATTTGTGTTATTTTGGGCAGGGAAGCAAGGTAAACTGCCGCCACCACCACGTGAGGTGGTGACTGTCATCACAACCGCCGATGTTTCTGCGATCGAGATGTCCATGGGGTGTGTTTTTCATGTCCAACACATGTTGTGTGTGTTGTGGGTGGTTTGTTTGGTCGGAAAAACTGAGAACAGCCACCACCACCATGTGCCGCCATGTAGGTGTGTTTTAGTATGTGTATGAGTGTTTTTTGATGAGTGTGATGTTATATGTATTAGTTGGTTAGCTGGAAAACCAAGAACCATGACCACCACCGTGAGGTGATGGCTGCCGCCGCGTGCCACCACCCGCCACCACAAGGCTGGTTGCGTGCGTGTGTTTATTTTAGTGTAGTGTGTGTGATTATTTTAGGAGTTCATTGTAAATTGTAAAAGCCAAAAGAATAATGCAAGAAACCTCAAACCACCACCATGAGATGGTGGTTGCCGCCACCGGCCGCCATATCGGGTGGCGGTGTGCTTAGTTGTGTCGGGATTGCTTTTTGGATGTTTGGACAAAGGACTAAAACCCTAATTAGCCTATTAAACCCTAATGGGCCCAATGAAGCCCTAATGGACCCAAAAGCCCAAATTGACCTAAGGAAAACCGTAATGGGCTTAAGGACTTGGTTTTGGGCCTATTGGGCTAAGATGGGATTGGAAACCCTAATTAGGGTTTAGAAAACCCTAATATTTGATTTATGGGCTTGGACTTATTGGGACCCACTTTTGGGCCATTGGAATGGAATTGTGTGTTAAGCCCAATCACACCATATGATTTATTTAGAAGAATGATGGACTTAATGATGGGTTTTGAGCATTCTAACGCTTCCTAAGTGTACATTCAACCCTAATAACCTTGGATCTATGTTTGTCTAATTATCATGCAAAGTTGATTTCCAAGGTTATGATCCTATATAGCATACATGGGAACAATTTTAACTTGAATAAAAGATAGAACTACATACCTTATTGTTGATTTTGATCCTTGAAACCTTGTAAGCCTAGCACCCCAAGTGTGATGCCTCAAATGCTTCACACAACACCAAATGATATGGAGTAAACTTGGAGAGAAAGTATAACACTCTAAAAATCGGCTCTAGCCCTCAAGTATGCATACATAGCCGATTCTGGGAGAAACATGAACTTTATATAGTGTTGACACATCAAGGGTTACACTTTGTAAACCCTAATGTGTCATGACTCTTCATTTCCATGACCCATGGGTTTGTAACTCCCATAGAGCCTCCATGGAGCATCCAATGGGTTTAACTCAACTTGATTATCCATGGAGCCTCTTATCCCACTATACAAGATATGGATGATTTACATAATCAACCCATATGTTTCATTAGTTATCTTTTGATCACTTAATTAATTCTATATTAATTCATGATCAAACTAATTAAATAATACTATTAATATATTAGAACTTATAATATATTAATAACCACAAGTGTTATTTCTCTAGTTTAGTCTATCCAATTGCATGGTTGTCACACCCCAAAACCTGAACGGCGGAAACGTTCTGGGGTGGATGACGTCATGTCAAGTATCACAACAAATGCAGTATAGATATCAAACTACAACAATCATTGCATTAAAAGTAATAGTTTTACATCGGTTTATATTGTATAGAATCATCAAAGTAATACAAGTAATAATGTAGATGCAACTTGGTACTAAACGGTCTTCACCAAAAGCGCCTGAGATGTACCTGTCTATTGCTGACTTGAGAATACAAGTTATTTGAAAGCGAGTATCAGCATTTTTACAAATGCTGGTGAGTTCATAAGTATTTAGTGTCATTTTATCCAAATAACTTTATATAAGTAGTAGTTTTAGAGTATACAGTGAATTAGAGTCATTTCCAGAAAATCCTATATTTTCTAATTAAAAGCAGTCTTTTACCGAGACTGGACAGAGTTATGTTGTAAAACGTAATTTTTCCCTTAACATTATCATTATCAAAATATGGTATTGATTTTAAAGAAAGTAGGAGAATATCAGGGAAAATGACATATTCCCCAGCAGTGAAGACTGCTAACTAAGGCAAAAGAAATCATAGACTCCAGGAGAGTATCGAATGAACGACGCGCCTGACTCAGTCTAACGAGAGGAGACACAGACCCCAGACAGTATCAAATGAATGATACGTCTAGCAAGGTCTAAAAACAGTGAATACAGTGTTAATTCCCGTTACCTTAAGGCCATGAATTATAAGGTAACCCCGAGATACTCGTAACCATACTGATAGACACTAGAGAACTTGACGCCCTGCAAGCATTGGAAAGAATGTGACATTTATCACCCCTTGGCTTGGTAGGTCGTGGACTGTAGCTAGCAATCAGGGTGCGGGGGTGTCAATCCCGTATAGATCTATACACAAAATGCCCGCTCTCCCTACCGGTGACTCTGGTTACCAACTAGACAACGGAGAAGGTCGTGTCCTAAAGATGCATCTCGTATAGTGAGATCTGATGTAAAATATTGGACAAGTGATAAAGACTCACAACTGAACTGGCCAATGTAAACCTATATGTCTATGCTTGTATACATAATGTATAACTAATGATCAAACGACCTTCGGATGGATATCCGATCCCACCAGACCACATCTCAACGAAGAAAAGGAAATAGGGCGAACTAGCCTTCCTAAGTCCTTTAAACATTATTTATATAACTATACAAGCACAGGCATGCATTTAACTAAGTAGAAGCGTTAACAGAGTAGAAGTATTTCATGAAGTAGAAGCGTTTCTCAAAGTGGAAGTGCTAATAAGGTATAAGCGTTTACGAAGTAGTAGCATTACTAAAGTAGGAGTGGTTCGTGAAGTAGTAGCATTAGTAAAGTAGGAGTGTTAATAGGTGGAAGCGTATCGTGCAGTAGAAGCGTTAACAAGTAGAAGTGTATCGTGAAGTAGAAGCAAATCGTGAAGTAGGAGCATTAACAAGTAGAAGCGTATTACGAAGTAAAAGTGTATCACGAAGTAAAAGCGTTAACAAAGTAGTAGTATTTAACTAAGTAGGAGCATAAACTAAGTAGAAGTATAACGAAGCAGTAGTATCTAACAAAGTAGGAGTATTAACACATGGACGAAAACTGTGATGGAAATTTTGGAAAACCATTACATTTAAGAAAATCACGACCTGGTATTCTTTTGTAGAATAAGTTTTAAAACCTTTAGAAATCCTTTGATAAACAAGTTTTAAATGAAACTTTGATAAAGCATTATAGGTAAAGAAATCCTTTGTTTAAAATACTGCTGTAACTGAATCTGAATAAAAACATACAGCGTGAGAGTCAATTTTAGAAAAGTTTTGAACAAGTAAAGACGTTTTAGAAAACCATTTACAGTATCATACTTGGTAAAACAGTTAACAGTGTAATGAATCCTTGTGCATGCGGGTTATCAATCACATGTGATTGATATGATCACTGGCATGTTTAACTTGTATCCCCCCCCCCCATAAAAGCATGTAAAAACATTTAAAAGGTTAATTCAGAGGTATGAACTCACCTGTTGTAAGCGGATCGAACGAAGGTGCCGGTTGGGTGCTCGGTGTCAAGTAAAGACTTGAACACACTTAGTGACCTATTAACATATCATAACATATGTTTACATACAATTAGTAAATATAATACTAATTAAACACGTATACGCATCCTAAAGTGCGGAAAACACTTTGATTGAGTGATAGGGGTGTTCCGGGTAACATCTATGGGCATGTATGGCCTAATAGGGAGTTTACTCTTCAAGAGTAAACTCTTTATAGAGTTCACGGCCCTAAGACCAACTCCCCATGACTTTATGGCCGTAAAATCATGGTGGGGGTGTTCTAGGATGCTTCAAGGTCTTATATCACTCGTGGAATTATGCTAGGCTCAAATCTAGGGCTTATAAAGGGTTTAAGGCCTCACATGGACCATTTTTGGGAGTTTACGACAGTAAAGATGGAGTTTACGGCTGTAAACTCCTACTAACCCTTTCCTTTTGTGTTTTGAGGTCTTAAATGGTAGAGGATAAAGTTCTATGCATTTCTCCAAGTCAAAAGAAGGAGTTAGGGCATCATTTGGGCACTTAATGGGAGTTTACGGCCCATGGACCAATTCTAGGGGGGGTTACGGCGTAAACTCCTATTTCCTTGGTTTAATTGATGTTTAATGCCTTTACTTCAATGGGGGTTGCTTCTAGACATTTTCCAAGGCCATAGGAGGTGTTTGAGGGCATTTCTAACACTAGAATTTGAGTTTACTACCCATGAAAAGGAGTTTACGGCCCAAGCATGTTCTTGGGCAGTAAACTCAATTTTATTCCCCAAAAGTTAAGTTCAAGGTGTTCTAAGTCTGTTTTCGTAAGTCATTTAGCCATATCTAAGCCTTAGGGGTAGTTTGGAGGGGTTTTGGGGCTTAAAAACCCCACTTAAGGGTGTTCACGGTCCAAGAGTGTTCTTGGGCCGTAAACACATCATCTTGCCCCTATTTGATGTCTTAAACACGAATTTGCGTGTTAACTAAGCTATACAACAAGTTAGGATAGATTTCTTACTAGTTTGGGGCTCGAAACGAGCGTTTTTGACTTGAAAACAAGTTATAGAGAGAGAGAGAGAGTGTAGAGAGAGAGTGAAAAGAGTATAAATGAAGTTTACTCTCCCTTATATAGGTGCTTGAGTTGGGGCTCAGTGGAAATCTACCCGATACTGCCACTAAACAGTGCTTTTGGTCGCACCCGATTAAGTGGTCGTATTTTGACTTGGTTGAAACTAGAACTTTTCAAGGGATTAATGAGGGTGTTTCTAATTTGTTTTCAACCCTTAGCAAGTCATTATAAAATTCCCACATTAATTAACCACTTCCATAAAGGCTAACGGACAGTTTAAT